TAATAATAATAATAATAATAATAATAATAATAATAATAATAATAATAATAATAATAATAATAATAATAATAATAATAATAATAATAATAATAATAATAATAATAATAATAATAATAATAATAATAATAATAATAATAATAATAATAATAATAATAATAATAATAATAATAATAATAATAATAATAATAATAATAATAATAATAATAATAATAATAATAATAATAATAATAATAATAATAATAATAATAATAATAATAATAATAATAATAATAATAATAATAATAATAATAATAATAATAATAATAATAATAATAATAATAATAATAATAATAATAATAATAATAATAATAATAATAATAATAATAATAATAATAATAATAATAATAATAATAATAATAATAATAATAATAATAATAATAATAATAATAATAATAATAATAATAATAATAATAATAATAATAATAATAATAATAATAATAATAATAATAATAATAATAATAATAATAATAATAATAATAATAATAATAATAATAATAATAATAATAATAAATAATAATAATAATAATAATAATAATAATAATAATAATAATAATAATAATAATAATAAAATTTTTGGAAGAACATCTACGAGAGCACGACACCCATCAAGAAGAACACATTATCTCTAATCAGGTTCAGATCCTATTGTACATGATTTCAACAATACCACCGTGGCGATAATCCGCAAGTAACTCAGAAAGAGATTAGAAAAGCACTTGAAGGTACTAGACATGCCATCGAGGCCTAGTGCTCGATGGCATTAACAACTTTTGGTGAAAGAAATTTCCAACTACTCATCCGCATCTTGCCAGAATATTTAACAAATGAACCAACTCCTGAGTGGTTAGTCGAAGGGAGAACAACACTTATTCCAAAAAAAGGCAAAGAATTACAGGCCGATCACCTGTCTCAATTCCTGTTATAAGATATTTACCCGTATCTTGTATTATAGGCTCTTGAGCTCAGTGGAACCTAGTTCTGACTGACGTTGTAGAGCAGCGAGGCGGTAGGAAGGGATTCCAAGGATGTAAAGAGAACTTACTAATAGACAGGTGCATTACACAAGACTCAATCCAGTACAAGCAAAACCTGTCAATGGCTTGGATTGATTACAAAAAAACGTTCGACAAAACATCACATGAACTACTGTTACATCTGCTACGAATTCTTTCTGTGCCGATGCCTTTGGTAAGATGCATCAAACAACTTACACCGCTCTGAAAATCAAAATTTTCAATAACAACTGGAAACTCGAAAGTAATAACAGAGCTAGTAACATTTAAGACAGGAGTTTTTTATGGTGACAAATATTCCTTGGTAATATCGGTCAAAGTTTTTATTTAAGGAACCATACAATATAAATACCATACAAATAACCAAAGAATAGGTACCTGCCCAAGAAGGGAAACTGAATGAGTTTCCGTATGTACCAAAGTAGCAGTGACCTTGACGTACATGAAACTTAATAAACTTGGAAACCATGAAGACAGTAGGGAGGGAAGTCGCTACTCGTGTACTAAAGTACTTGCGCTATGTTGTTACCATCCCTATGTCATTTGTTACATTTACTTACAGGTTTTGTGGTATTCGTTTTATGTTTAGGTATTTATTACATACGTTTCATTTTTATAGTGTTAGTTGAAAGACCATAAGGACATTACGGTGTATCTGGTGCTTAAGGAGATTGTACACTCCTAAATCGAAAGGAAAATAAAAAATTATAGGGAATAACTATGCAATCATGGAAACAATATATCAAAGTAAAATTAAAAATATTATCTAAACAATTATTATAGACTTTATGTGGTTATTTTGTATAACCTATTGTATCAGCCCTGTAAATGTTATTAGGATAAACTAAATACAAACGTTTTCCATACACATCTTACGTGAAAAATTTTTTTATGTACGTATTATCAACAAAAATAATAAAAAATAAAATATTACACTTCATATTAGAGAAGTTATGTACAAAAGAAAAAAATTAGACAACTTTTATTTAAACAATTTTTTTGAATACTCGACACCAGACACACAGACACACAGACACAGACACACAGACACACAGACACACAGACACACAGACACACAGACACACAGACACACAGACACACAGACACACTGACACACAGACACACAGACACACAGACACACAGACACACAGACACACAGACACACAGACACACAGACACACAGACACACAGACACACAGACACACAGACACACAGACACACAGACACATAGACACACAGACACACAGACACACAGACACACAGACACACAGACACACAGACACACAGACACACAGACAGACAGACACACAGACACACAGACACACAGACACACAGACACACATACACACAGACACACAGACACACTGACACACAGACACACAGACACACAGACACACAGACACACAGACACACAGACACACAGACACACAGACACACAGACACACAGACACACAGACACACAGACACACAGACACACAGACACACAGACACACAGACACACAGACACACAGACACACAGACACACAGACACACAGACACACAGACACACAGACACACAGACACACAGACACACAGACACACAGACACACAGACACACAGCAAAGCTTAAGACCCGTAATCACAGGATAATCAGGCCTATAAATCAAATATTATATTATAAACAAAAACACATATATAAACAAACCAACAAATGTTGTGGTATATGCCAAAACATGTGGAAAGACCTAAATCAATGCGACATTCTTTGTACCAATAACAGCTCACTTTACGAATTTTTTTCTTATTGCGATTATTACATTTCATCTTTAAAGCTAATTCATTAATTTTAAATGTTTTGTAATTTTTTGTAAGCTTTGTTTGGATGGCATATACACCATAAAAGCCTATGCTTATAAAAAATGAAAAGTAACGGCAAATTTTTTCTACTCTTCAATATATCACCATTTTTGTTTATAAAATAGATTATATCTTTACATTTTTGATAAAGGTTTGTTTAAAAATTTGTTACACATTTTTATAAAGTCTTTAAGATATGATTGTCTTTTTTACCATCTTGAAGTTTCTCGATAGCCCTCGTATTTTTAAACTCTTATTATTTTTTTCTCGGACTCTCAAACGTTAACGTTGTATGCGTTGATGTCTCTATTGAGATTAAAGAGGGATGTAAAAAAACAGTAACTGACATTGAAATCAACATTTAATCCAATTTGTTCTTGAAGGATAATTAGGGGCTCATTTAAAATATGTAGGTCATATTTTGTATTTGCCTTTTAATTTATAAAAACTAATCGCCAAAAAAATATGGATTGGAATTTTTACTTAAAATACACATTAACAACTACAAAAATTTTAAATATATTATCAGTAAATTTTAATCGTCGCTACCATTTTTATTTTATTGCAACACCACTCTATATATATATGAAAAAGTTTAGTGCGGTGAAGAATTAAAAGAAAAAAGGTTATTGGGAAATACCGCAAAAAAGAAGAGAGAAAAAAAAGCCTGAAGGGCAAACCGTAGACACGTGTTTCTGACTATTGGTCTTCATCAGTACGGTGCAGCCAAGTTCAAGACAGAATGGAACTAGCTATGAAAGAAAAAACAAACAGGAGATCACTCAAGTGGCCAACCACACATTTGTGGCTTCTTAAATTTTCACAAAAAATTATTAATAATATACCAAACGACACTCTACATAAATTTACAGCTATATTTCGGGTTAAACAACATTTAGTGCATTGAGAAAATTTGGCAGTTTTTCGTCCACAAATCGTCCATTTTGTTTCAATTTTTGTGTACGTATTAAATTAAATATGCATAGCTATCGATGATTGTCAAATAAAAATTAAAGTAAAATTAAAATTTGGTAATATGTTGTGTGTAATTCGAGCGGAAAGCGATTTGCCGCTTACGATAAATTTTATTTTCCTACGACCGCTTAGGAAAGTGACACATATCACACTATATAGTCCTATGAATAAGAATTTACTTTCTACTCGTGTACGAATATGCTACTTTCCGCAGCAGCTGTCATAAAATGTCAAACACATCATTTCTATTTTGATCTATGTAATGTCAATATTAATACTAAAATCGATATGATTGTTAAATTATTGAAATTGTTGTAAATTAGATCTTAGATATTTATCTTTAACAATTATTATTGAAATAATTTTAAAATAACTAAGATATGTTTGCTTTTTATTCTGGTTAAACACATAACCGATTAGATCATTCAATTGACATAAGGCCTAGTAGCTTAGATGATTAGAGCGTCAAACTTATCAACTTTGCCATTTGAAACCTGGCGAGCGACCGCCTTCAAATCCTGGCGGGACCAGAATTTTTTTTTTATTTTTTTTTGTTTAGAAAATATTAAAATTGAATAAATACCATTATTGTTGATTATTTTTTTTTAAATACATTTTAATTATTATAATAAATTGGTTTTATATTTTTTGATGAAATTATTTTGTGGTCGTAGGAAAAATATTGTACATCACTTGTATGAAAAGTGATTTTTATCACTCGTGTGTAATATACTATTTCAAGCGACAAAGTAGCACTCTTCGCTGTTAATACAAAAACAGTCATTGTGAGTAATAAACTATCTTTTTTTCTATCTTCTTACTCATTCCCTACAACGCACATATAGCTACCACACCTTTAATAAAATTGTAATATAATAAATATTATGTAGACAATTTCTAATCGAATATTTGGTATTTAGAAAATCAAATCAATTTTTAAAAGAGAACAAAAAATAGATTAATTACATACCAATGCCTCCAAAATAATATTTTCTAGAAATACTAATTAAGGTTTTTGTTTTCAGAAATGTGATGCTACATAATCTCAACAACGAATATATCAGATCAACGTAACCTTCGTATGTGATAGTTCTTTACAAGAAACCAATTAAGTGCCAAACTAAAAAATAAAGAAGAATGTCCGAAAGTGCATATAATTCACCGTTGTTCAGCAGGCGACTTACAGATTCGTGCTGTAGTTCACCTGCAAGAAGTATCAGGAGTCATAATATAGAGGATCTCACCGATTCCGATGGTGAAGGAGATCAGCTGTTTACAGAAGTTCCGGGAACGCCTGAGCAAACGGTTATCTGCGGGTGGCTGAAGTTCCGAGACAACAAAAAGGTTAGTGTGTTATTAAATTAGTTTAAAAGCAGTTTTAATATTAGCGAGTTCATTTCGATTTAATATTTCTATTTATCTGATGAAACAATAAAATTAGGTAGGATTAATATTAACGATAAAACTTTTAATTATTAACATTGAAAAGCTAAAATATTTACTAAGAAATACGCGCTTTATTTCTAAAATGGTTTGTTCAAAAGTTTATATATAAAACATGGTTACAATAATTTGTCTTAAAAGAGTGGATATAATGGCCATCTCAGGTTCGTATAATACGGATAATCTACTCTAATTGTACAATAAACTTACCAAAAAAATCTAAAGGAAATTAGTTTAGGATTTTAACGATAAAACTGGTATTTTGAAAATATTAACCAGAAGCTATAAATTCATGAGCTTCTCTCATTTATAAAATAAAATAAATTCAGCCAGGTTTTAAACTCCAGCCCTTTTGCACAGGAATTCATAGCTCAAACTTTATACCTCACATTTTATTTTCATTTAAAATTATTAACAAAATTTATTTTAAATTACTTTTTCAAAATTGATGGTTTCTTTAAAAATATGAGTAAATCATGTATCATTAATTTACACATTCTGTACTAAAGTCACTTATGTTTACTTTCATATCTATATACAGATAGGCAAGTATAGGAGTCATGATTTTTTCGACCTCAAGTTTTCGACGAATTTTTACGTTTTGGGGTCCCCTGAATGCGTGCGTGCGTGCGTGCGTGCGTGCGTGCTGGCTTAGGGGATAAGGGGGGCTAAAATTAGGGCTGGACGATTATTAAAATATTATTTGATTATTTGAAATAATTATATATTCTAAAATAATCGACTAATCCAAAATATTCGATTAATTGAAAATAATCGGTTAATCGAAAACAATCGATTTCATTCAAATAATCGAAAACAATAGATTAGATAAAAGTAATCGATTATTCGTAAAAATTCGATTAATTCAAATAATCGATTAATCGAAAAAATCGATTAATTTAAACAATAGAATAATAGAAAATAATAGATTAATCGAAAATAATCGATATATTAAAAAATAGATTATTCGATTCACTCTCCTTATTTTATGTTATTTAACTTCCTCATCTTTTGTGGGTATTTTCTGACGAGAAGGACAGAAACTCCTTGGATGAATGTCCAACTATTTTTTTTTTGTTATGTACGCCTTCTTTTACACCTGTTGACGTATTCATAATTTTTAGACCATTTTATATACAAAAAATTATAAAATTATTATATATTAAATTTAACTAAAAATTACACTACTCTTCGAGTTATAAATTTGGAGAAGGTTCATAAATTTTATTCTCGTTTTAAAATTCTCTCTGCTAATCCAGTAAGAATTGCGTTATAGCGCAACTTTGTGATAAGTAATTTATCGTTTCCAGAAGATACTTATCGTGAGAGACCAACCCGTAAAATATATAATTTCAGGAGAGGATTATAGACCAGGAACTATTAGATATTTTAACGTCTGTAATGTTTTATGGTGAACATAACTATTTTAATATGTTTGTCCTAATATTATATATGACATAAAAAAGTAGATCATTATAATATGGACAGAATTATTAAATAGTATTATATTTATGTCTTATTAAATACTATACGGAGTGTTTTAAAATTCACGCCTTACAGAAAATATACTAATTCCGCCTAGAAACTTTATCAGAATTTTTGTGAACAACTATTTATTTTGGACTTTATTTACGAATTAACAAAGCCATTATACTATATCTAAAATTATTAAATTATTTCCAAAAACTACCTAATAAATATTTGTGTACCAAATTTTACATACGCCATACATTAACCTAAATGTCCAACATTGCTTCTAAATATTTATGTAGTAGGGTTGATACGAAACAGCAGTTGCAGATTTCACAAAAATGTGTATTTTACTTTGGATTTTTGTATACAAATCGCCTTTTTATTGCAGCTGTTTTTCTATGAGGCATCAGTTCTTGTGTCCACTTTTTATACATTTTCGACTTTTCTAAACAGGAAACCCTATTATAAAAAAAAACAATCTGGTCGTCTATGCCGGCGTGTGGTGTGTGACGAATCGACAACTCTAGAATAAAAGGTTTGATCGACTTGCAATTTTGATCTTACATCACAATTTCTTTCAGTCTATCGATTTTTAAATTTTGTCGCTTAATTATAGTGCTTTAAATATCAGTATTTTTAAAATATAATTCATTTCGTTTGAAATTGTCTACCGGAATTAGGTTTTTAAGGCGAAATTTTTAGTAGAGCATAGAGACCCAGATAACAAAACTTTACTATACGTAGATAAAAGAATGATCGGATGAAGGTATTATATATACATATATACATTTCTCTGCGTTTTTTCCCATATTTTTGAATTTTTTAAAAAAATTTACCTGACTTTTTTTTGAAGAACAAACGATTTGCTATCGATTAAGTCCAAATACATTTTTTACCAAATTTCATATTTTTGCCACTATAGCACGCCGAAAAAACAAATGTATATATTTTGCGGTTTTTTGCATTTTACATAAAAACTACGCACTTTGGTGGAAAATCTAATAAGTGTAAAGCTGTAGAGAGGAACATTTCCTATCAAACCAATGAAACAGATGTTTGTCAATAAAATGATTATTTAATTTTTATCCAAGCTGTTCTCTTGATTAAAAGAATGCAGCTTCAACATTGTGGATTGCGGAATTTAACTAAACATATTTATTTTATTTGTATACGAAAAGTACGACAAATTGAACGGCAACTTTTTATCATGTGCTGTAGCGACTAAAACAATGAGTTTCTGGAAAACCTTTTTCATAATCATATACCATTTTTTTCGCTTTATAACTTTGCTCTGATGAAATATACCACCAAAGAGTGCGGTTTTCATGTAAAATACAAAAAATCTCAAAATATATACAATTATTAATTTTTTTGGCGCGCTGTAGTGACAAAAATATAAAGTTTAGCAAACATTATATAAGTTGGAATCATATGAAAAACTTTTTATAATTTTAGGAAAAAAAAGTTATTCTTCATAAAAAGTTCTGCATTATATAAAACCTAGAATACAGTCATCAACTATCAAATTTTTTCAGTGGTATTACGAGCTTTCAAAATATATGAATTTTGCTCAAGACTAATTTTCATTAAGAAAATTATTAAATTCTTCACAAACATCAAGAAAAGGAAAGCGTGTTATGTTTATAGTAGAAAAGAGAGAGAGAAAAAATTATGGATTACCGTAATTAGGTGGATCAATGCAAAATCTAGAAAAAATCTGATTTTTTAGATAGATCGGTTTAATTTCATACTTGTATGTAATTTTCAATTCTTATCAACTTTTCTTAATCAAAATTTTTGATTTTGTCTAAAATAAACGTACTTTACTCTTGAGAAAAATTCATATTTTTTTACAAACCTCGTATACCACTGAACAAATTTGATATTTGATAACTGTATTCTAGGTTTTAGATAATGCAGAACTTTTTATGAAGAATAACTTTTTTTCCTAAAATAATAATGTGTGTTAGCAAGCATTTAAAATAAGCATTTAAAATGACACCGCCGGTTAAGAGTCTGTAAAGTTTGTTTTATTTATTCGTTTTCTGAGTGCATAAGCAGGCCCATGACACTCCCTGGGCGGGAAAAAGACACGCAGCTTTTACAGCGCTGACGTTTTCGGGATATAACCTATCACTTGTCATAAATCCGGTTAAAAACTCGCTACCATGCGCAGGCAATCCATATTTCGTACACAAATACAAACTTTTGTTTACATTTTATCTAACTAAAATAACAATAAAAGCTTTGGGTTTTTAAATCAGAAATACAAAAAAAATTTAGAATTACCACCAAAATCAGATTATATAATGCCTTACTAAGACCCCATCTTGAGTATGTTTCACAAATATGGATGCCCTTGAAAGCCACACATACTGATCATATTGAAAAAGTACAAAAAATATTTTTACCGTACCTTTATGCCATAAACAATACTTGTACCTTTATAAGGTCTCATATAAAACTATGCTCTATAGTTTTAAGATTAAATCTCTTTTACAAAGAAGAAAGCAACTGTGATATATTTTGTACTCTATTTTAAATAATATTAAGTACAAAGATTGTGATTTGATTGACTATATAAATTTTAATGTGGCAAATATTAATCTAAGAATCCCAAGTAACAAAAAATTATTTAGTTTAGATCCAAGTAGTATATTTCCTTTTAACAATATAATGGCTGTTACCAATGAGTTTTTTAGCGAGGTCCAAATAGATATCTTTAATGTTAGCCTAAGAAAGTTGAGGACTGTACTAAATTAAGTTCACTAGATATAATGGTTTGTTTTGTTTATAAAGTTATTGTTACTTAACTCTACATGTAACTACTATTAATTTTTTATAGTATCCAATAAATAAATTATACCTTATGGCTGCTTTCAAACAATTCTGTGTGTAGTCTCTCAGTTTAAAGTTAATTTTAAATTAATGAGTTTAATAAGAATGTCAAATAGTGATATGTATAGTGTCTATGAATTTGCTGTGTTTAGTAAATGGCAAATAAACATAACTTTGATATTTTTATTACAAGTGTAAAAACTACGCAAACCATATACATATAGTTCCCATTTTTAAATAAATTTATAATAAAAAGTAACGATTTTAGTCTGTCATACTTGAACTCATTCACTAAAACAAGTCACTGAGTATATATTTGTAAAAAAAACTACACTAAATATGTCTCCATTATAATTTTTTATATTTAAAACTACATAGATTTTGCAGTAAGTACCTAAATAACGTATAGAATAAATTTCTACAACTTAGAAAAGTTTTAGATTAGAGTAATTCTTAAGAAATAAAGCAAAACCTTTATTTTGTTACTCTAACCTTGTGTGTTATATATTTTCCTTGACAAGCTAACGTTATATTTTGAACTAAAAGTAATTAAACTTTTCACTAAAAAGTAATATTTCACATATATAAAA